TAAGGTTTGTTGTTGATGAATGTTGTTGTTAAGGTTTGTTTAGAAGTTGACTTTGTTATATATTATGTGGTTTGAGTGTTTTTCTAACCCCTTACCGAATATATAACTTTTTGGATTGCAATTGAAAAATATAATATGATATATAAAATTATATTAGAAAATAAGTTACACTAATCAATGTTAGATAAGATTTCTTCAGCCCATTGTCTTCATTACGCTCTTTAACAGTTAGAACTTAGTTTAACGCTTTTAGCTCTTCTACCACCCCTTACTCCCCCTGTAATTTTGTTTGAAAAGTAAATAATATTTTGCAAAATGAACTAGAGATGAAGGAAGGGGAGTTTTAAGAACTATGAGCATTAAAATAAAATCTAAATCGGTTAAACGCAACATGCGGATAATGGGATGAAGAATTCTTGCCTAACATTGAACGGTGTAATTTGTTCTTCTAATATAACTTAATTTATCATATTATAATGTTATAGATCAGATTGAAAGGTTATATGATTAGTGAGCATTAGCAAAATAAATATTCCACATAATTTATAATAAACTTAATTTATATATCACAATGATTGTTTAGCACAACCGTTGTTAAATGTTATGCGTTAAGAATATTACAACAGTTGTTTAAAGTAATTGTTGTGATAGCTCTACCTAGTTTATAATTACGGCTGCACGACCGTGGTAGAAAGCATCATACTTACAACCACCTCTACCTCACAACGATTGGTTAAGTGTGGTAGTATCCTTTTTCTAACTATTGTGAAATGGCTTTTACGTAGTAGTGCATAATTTTTAAAACATTGAATATGTAGTTTTCAATAAGTAACTAGTTAGCCGATTTAAGAAATTGGTTACATGAGTATTGTTGTTTTAAATTTTAAAATTATTATGCACTTTTTAGATTACGTATCAGTTTAACCGATTTAAGAAACCTTGTACATAATGATGAATTATTTCTTTTCATGAACCATTTTCATTCTAAATTATTGCATGTGGTGTGCTTTCTCTAAGTGTTGTGAAAAATAAAGTGGTGTGGTTTATTGTGTATGTTAGAATATTGTAAGAGATGTCTTGGTGTGAAACTTGTAACATAGTGGAAAATGCTTCAAGGTGTGAAAGGACTAGATGTATCATTGTTTGATAAGCGGAACAAGTATAAATCTTTTGTGTTCATTTATTTCCCTGCTTCATATATTTTTATAAAAATATCATTTTTATATCCAAAGAAAATAAAGACCATTGCGCAAAAACGAGAAAAATTAGGTAACCATAATTCACCCCCCCCCCCCCCCCCCCTCTCTCTCTCTCTCAGGTTGCATCTTATATTTACAACAAATTTATAAATAAACCACAACATAATAATCGTGTCCCATTACACAGTTAATATCTAGGATCTAGATTTCTCAACATCAATAGTGCACCTTTTTTTATCTCCAAAATATGCAGTGGGAGACTGCCTTGTGTTGCGTCGCGAAAAATACCCGAGCGTATCGCACGCTCAAAATAAAATAGAATCGTCACCGAACTTTATTTATTCCAAAAGAAAAGGGGAAATATCGATAAAATCCACAAAATAAAAGAAAAATAGTCGTTGCAACCAAATTAGGATCTGGGAGTCAGTTATGCAAGGGAGAGGTATTAGCACCCCTCACATTCGTTGTACTCGATAGGACTCATTTAGTTAGTTTTGTGAAAGAAATGTTAGCTTATGTTACTTGCAATCTTCTACTTATTATACGAGAAAAGAGAAAAGAAAATATTTTTGGAATTTTTTATCGAGCAGAAAATGTTTGATACTCTCATGTGGAAGGCATTGTTTGCATCATTGTAGAATGGACAGGACATCTTTTGTTTTTAAAAAGGCTTGCGAAATCACGCGAGGGCGAAAAATAAAGGTTTGATAAGTTTAAATTGATTTTTAAGAGGAAGCCAAATATTTGAATGAGAAGTTATTACGGCTAGCACCCAAATACTTAGAGATTATGATGGATATTACGCCCAACTAACCATTATCTTCCAAGTTTATTGATGAAACACGTGACACGAATTAGGTCATGCTCCATAACAGAAACCAAGCATTTGAATGGTAAGCTATTATGGCTAGCATTGTGATGCGTTCGATTGAATTTGATTTAAAAAGCAGCTTGACGTTGGATCAAGCGTTTTTATTTTGAAAGAGGATTTACTTTAAGAGGTCAAGTTGTTAATTAATTCAATTAAGCTAGCGAACCTAAAAGAATCAAAACGAGATGGTGCTAGAAATTACAATCAAGGAATGAGGGTACATTTATCACATTGCAACTAAAATGAAGTAACAATTAAACAAATGGATAATAGTTAAGTTGCAAAATTAATTAATTAAATTTGATTAATTAAACTAATTAAACAAATTAAAATTAATTATCGAAACTAATTGATTAAAAATTAATTAAATCCATTAGTCAAGTTAACTAAAATTGATTAACCTAATTATCTAATTAAAATAATTTAATTAATTAATCAAATGACAAAATAAAATAAAAAGAAATAAATATGCAAACTGGGGTGTATAAATTAAATGGATGCTGCAAATAGAATAGAAATGAGCCCAAAAGTATATTAAAGCCCAAAAACCAAGTTAAATCTGGCTTAAGGGGCTACGCGTGGCAAGCCTTGAAGGTATTGGATCAAAGTCTCAGACAAAAGATCTGATGGGTAATGGCGTGGCCAGGTGGCAGGGAGGAAGAGAATTTTAAAAAATAAAATAAAAAAAATAAAAGGAGAGAGAAGAGCACGTGGGACACGCTTCAGCTTTCTCTCCCTCTTAAGATCGTCTTCTTCATTACTCCCTCCTTTCTATGGTCGAATTCACCAATCACCCATCTCACAAACTCAACAAAAATTAAAAAGAGGGATACTATACAACTCAGTTCCTTACCCCAAATATGGTTCTAAATCCCAAATTCTCAAAACCATTACCAACAACATTTATTTTTCAATTTCTTCAAAAAAACCTAGAGTTAAGAATTGAAATTAAATGACAATGATGAAGAACTACATGCAATTTTTATGGGGCTACTAACCAGCAGAGTAAAGGCTACGTTGATATGGATTACTTTAGATAATGCATTAATTTTGAGTAGATTCATGAGTATAACTTAAAGATCACTTGTTTGGTTTAAAGATCACTTTTGAGTTAGTTTAAAGTTGTCTTTGGAAGATCAGACAAATGACAACAAATTGCACTGGTTACGACAATATATTTGCGCATATGTTACTAACATTTCATAACAATTGTGTTACGGCATTACAAACATTTCATCGGTGTCTTTTTCATATATGGATCATCCAGCATTTTCCACACGTTTCTGATTGGTCATATGTTGATGACTACTTTTGAGGATCAATCACGTGTTTGCACAATTGTTCCATTAAAAGAGAATCTAACGACATAGTCCTTCAAAGTGTTTTTTGACTGTACTACAGTAGATTATATATGCTACACATTATGATGATCATCGTCAAACGTGTTGTCTTCTACTCTAGATGGTTGCTTGTGGGTCATTCTGGTGCATTCACACCTGACTGAGTGAGTCATGTGTCAGTTTGAATTTTTACAGGTTGTTCCAAGAGACACATATGCGTCTACTTCTCTCGGTATGGTTAACATAGATGTTTATATGTTGTATGATGATTTCTATAATCATCTAGTACTAGAGAAAGCACGAAATGTGTCAGCTTCTCAATCATGAAATTGTGCATTCAGCTACATCCAATGATATTTCAGAGTGTCACATCTTTACTTGACACTAGATGTTCATGGAAATCCACCTACACCAATTCATCAGGAGATATTAGAGGAGGATGAGGTTAGGGAAGATCGTATCGTTGATGTTTTACTTGCATGTCGTATTATGGATATTGTACGAGCGGGTTTAGAGAGAGAAGACTTTGTAGAAGTCACTCCTGAGAGAACCAATATAGATGTCATTCTATTTTAGACATTAACGACATTGCAATATAAGAGACAGAGTAGGAATAGTGGAGTTAGATATACTCAATAGTATTTAATAGTATTTGTATTATAGGTGGTATTATGGTTTGTAATTTATCATTTTGATAATATTGTGAATTTTGGATTAATTCTAATATAAGATATTGTCATTCTTATTACATCTATACATAGTTTAATTGATAACAAATTTATTAGAGTAGAATACTTATTATATAAATAGCCAATTAAATAATATACTTATTACATAAGTGTATTTATTACATCAATGTATTTCTTAGAAAATATCAAACCCTTATAATTATAAGATATGAAAGTATACTTTCAGAATAAATTATGACAATGAGAGTGTGATTCACTTGTGAAGTGAAGAGATGTGGTATATATGGAGTGCGTGCATAAGTATACTTGTGAATTTGAAATGGATAATTTTGGATGTAGTATTTAAGTATATTTATTCAAAATATAATTATATGGTGACCACTAACTCTAAGAAGAGCAAACGCTTGTGAAATAGTCCTACTAGATCACTTTGAATTGAAGAAAGTATAAGTATATTTATTCAAAATAAAATTTTGATGTTAGCTTTAGTACAAATTTGTTAATTTGATACAAACTACTTTTTACCACTTTACTAAAAAAATAAGGTCTGCAAACTAAAACTTAAGTATTGAAAAACACTCGGATGTTGGGCAATGCACATCTAAACATGCGCTAAACAACATTATCTTCTTTGTTTGACAATATACGAATGGTGTTCCCTAAAGTTTTTAGCTTTTCAATTCTTTATTCAGTTTTTTATTTATTAAAGAGTGTGTATAAATATTGAAAATAAAAATGAATAAGGGAATTAGAGGCAAAAAATTGGATATGCCTTACCTGGAAGGCAACAAATATCGATTTCTAAGGCCAAGGGCTACAATATCAAAGAGAACAAATTACAAATAAAAAGCTTACACGATTATAAAACCTCACAAAATCCGACTTATCTTGGCTAATTTAATTATGATGATGGTTTCTTATGAGCAAACCGCTGTAAAGATTTTGGTAGTTCAACTCCCCCATTGGTTTTCTGTTTCTTACTAGATGCTTTTTTCTCTTCTTGAATTTTCTGCTCCAAATAAGGCCTCTTTGCCGTGGCAATTGCATCTTGCTTTTTAGGCATTATTTTACCTGCCTTACTTCTTCCTTTTGTTTTCTTTTTCAGTTTTTTGCCCTTGACAGCTTCAACAGCAGCTTCCATATCAGCATCCATCTTTTCCACAGTTGGCTTCTCTTTTTTAGTAAATTTCACAGTACCGATCTTGCTGGGATCTAGCATGATTGTCTCGACTGGAAGCTTATCACGAAGAGACTGTACTTCCTTTTCTTTTCTCTGTTTAGGTGTCTCAAATGGATTTGCAACCCATGAATCAAAGTTGGGTTCTCCTGCTCCTGGAATAAGAATACTAGACCAACCCATTGAATGCCCTATGCCTAGAACATCTTCGTATGGTCGGAAAGCTAACTTCCCTATCTGATAACCCTTTACCATTGAATGAGTCATGTAACTTGAATAGTTCTGTGCACCAGAAACATCCCTAAGAACCTGGATATATGAACCATTACCACAAGCAAGCAAGCCTTTTTGACTAAACTCCAAAGTATTTGCATGGCCTGGTAATGTTTGAAAAGCCTCGTACTTCCTCAAGTCCCAAAGTTTAATTTTTTTATCTTTCCCAGCTGTAGCCATTATGTGGCCATTTGGGTGAAACGCCAGTGCCGAGACTGGCCCGTGATGACATAGCATCTTGACAAGGGGAGAAGAACTAGTTGGCTTCCACATAGTAACTGTACCGGCTGAGTGACCTAAAGAAACAACCGAATTGTAAGGGTTTACTTGCATCACATTTGTACGTCCCAAACCAGTTCGATATTTCCCAACTACATCACCCGTTGAAACATCCTGATAAAGAAGCATCCCAAATTTGTTGGTAGAAGCCAGGAGAAAATGGTTTTTTAGAAACTGCAGCCTCAACACTGAACCATGATCCTGAAAAGAAAATAGAACACAGACTCCTTAAGGATGCATCCCATATATAGAGTTTCAGGAGACGATAAAAGGCAACCATTTTAACTATTTTGAAACTTCAAAGAGTTCAATACTAATGAAAACCAGCACGGTGTAGGATGTATATCTATACCAGGCGTTCCGCTAGTGAACACGCCTAAATGACAACTCTATACACTAACCTGGTTCATTCAGTAGTGGATGTTCTCAGATTAGGATTAGAATTTATTACCATTTGAAGCAGCACTAATAGGCACGCATATCCACAGATCAAAATCAGGTTTGTGAACTGAGGGTAAGATTACTAACAAAAATTATCGCACCCTCAGATGAATGGTGGATAAGAGAGGAAAATAGATACCCATCAAATAAAAATACACTTGCATACTAACTGGATGATTTGACTAAAAGACATTTAGCTATCAAAATATGTAGAAACATTGACATCATCATTGGCTAAATTTTAAAATATTAAAGAAGCAATTAACCAACCTTTAGGCAGTGAAGCTCTGTGCCTTCACGACTATATATGTATGAATACCTGTCAAATTTTGAAAACTATGAAGTCAGTAAACACAGATAATGCCCCCACATATAATATTTTATTGGGGAAAACAGTCTAATCAACTTTTCCAAGAGATAAGAAATATCAAACAACAAGCAATCTTATAAGGTTTACATTGATTGTTAAGCACGTCATCCTACTACAAAATATAAGAAAGACAAGTAAAATCTTACTAGCCCCAATTTCTGAACTTCAAGTAAAATCAGAAGCACTTAGAGTTTCGTACTAAGAAACATAAATGGTGCATATTGCAATATTTTGGGATCCAAGACACATGCAAGAGTCAGAAATGCAAAGGAGTGGTGTGACATATGCATTGAGGTCCTCTGCCCCCAAACGTTTTATTAAGTCTATGTAACAAATTTTATAAATCTTCCCTGCTTAGCCCCCCCTGAGCTACTCATATATTTCCTTAATTGTACAGACCCATTCAACTAAGAACCAAACATTTATAGATAAACAGTACAACAGCAAACCAGGGATGATAAATTACTTTTTCTGGGCAGCAGCAAAGAAGAGCTCATTATGTAAAAATGCCACATCACGCACAGTTTCTCTTACCTGAAACACCAATTATTAAAATCCAAGAATAATTTCACAAAATACTCAATAAATACAGTAAAATTAAAATGTAACCATTTCTCTCCGACATTAGATATGTAGGACTTATTTGTTTCATGTTTGTGAAAAAGTGAAACTTTTGCTTAAAATGTATGATTAAAAGTAATTATAATAATTAGATGTTTCTACATAAACCTCAGAAGTAGTTTTAGTGCTTCTCTCAGTAGCTTAAAAACAGTAGCTTCTGAAAATAAGCAACACTATATGGTCCCATCTAAAGAAGGCATGACGAGTATCACCAGTAAAGAAGATAAAATCAAACATTTTTAAATAAATATATTTTAAATTGGTTGTTAATAAAAGCAAACAAAGGAAGCTCAACATTGATTAAGTATACCTGAAGCTCTCTGATAAGGCTCAGATTCATCATGTCCACAATTGCTAGGTGGCCTTTGCGACCACCAACAGCCATATACCGGCCACTAGGAGTGAAGTCTAGAGTATATGGACCAAGCTCTGCAAATATTCATTGCAAACAAATAAACGACAGATTGAGAGAACAAAATTCTTCAATTGACGAAAGGTTCTGTGCATCAGTATATCATGGGATAAGATATTAAAAAAAGACATGGAAGACAAACTTGTATAAAGCTATTACAAGGATAAGATATTAAAAAAGACATGGAAGCCAAACTTGCATAAAGCTATTACAAGGATAAGGCCAAAAGAAAGGTTATCATCTTAAGAAAAGTATTAAATCAAGCATATATCAAGTAAACATCAACTTCATTTCTGCAACCCTAAAAATGATAAGCACATTGCTTGGACAACTTGGTGTGACATTAAAGTCATTTTAAAGTATTTTAAGTGAGGACTTATCAATAACAGGAGTCAGCATTAACGAGCGCAAACCTAAGAGATGTTCGTTTTATCTTGAAAAGTATACGAGCAACTACAAGCTAGTTAGATTTGCTTTCGAATTCTAATGCAACTTAACTGATTATGAAGAGTCAATCTCTCCTTTTTGCAGCTAGAAATTGGATTTTCCAATATTTGAGTAGAGAACAGAAATAAACTTCATACATCGTGCTTCTAATATCATGTGCGATGTACCCCAACAATTCATGAAGTTATCGAAATCAGGTTTGCTTTAAATTCATGAAGTTATTGAAATCCGGTTTGTTTTAAATTCATATGTACTTGAATTGAACATGAAAAGTCTATCTGACCTCTTGTACAAAGGTTTGGTTTTGCGGCCAGATAACTTGGGTTCTCCATTATTTGAAATTAGAAAAGGAAAATAACTTATGTGTGTGAGAATTGAATGTTCCAATTTAAATTTTTGAGACTTTGTATTGCATTTCATTTTACTTTTCTTTCATTAATTTGATAGCATAGTATTTTTAAGCGTTTATTTAAATTTTCAGCATTAATTGAGGCAATAACTAAATGCTTATGTCAATTTCTAGGGCTCGGGCACTGGGAAGACAGTGTCTGCACTGGTTGATCCAGAAATGAAGTTCAAACCTCTAGGCACTCACATTTTAACTTCCCAAGCACTAGACACTAGAGAAATCATAATGAAAATCAATGAAAGGTTGGTAAGAACTAAGAAGAGCGTACAAGAGGACTTCAGGAAAAAAAACAAATGCACGCATAAGATTTTAACTTTAAGTGAATAAATAGTAGCCTATATATTAACAAAATAAATGGATTGGATTCATAGAATAGGGAAAGGGACAGGATTAAATGACACCAAGTGGCAAACTTTTATACTTACACCGCTTAATGGTAATTTGTAGAATACAAAATTAATTGAACAATTGTTGATCTGGAAGTTCTAATTAAGTAGATTAAGTTCATAAAAACTTCAAGCAAACAAAAACTGATTGATATTTGATACAAGCAAATGTTAATTATTATAATTATATAATATATAATTATATCATATATATTAGATAAGATACCTACTATTATCCAAATTATTTGAAAGACAGTATTAATGACTAGGAGCAAGATCATATCATATATATCAGAGTCTGATTAGTTAATTTCAATTCTACAAAAAGTTATTAAGTGTTAATGTTGAAAAAAGTAGAGTGTTATTTGCTTTTTCTCACTGTCTATGTAGACTAGAGAGAGAGAGAGAGACTAATATTACAACTTACAATAGAAACATAATAAATATGACCTAACCAAAGATGCTCTGAAGCATGGGTACTTTTAAAATAGTGAACTAATTATACCGAGTACGTACCAGTATTGTTACATGCACCAAGATCGTGATACTTTATTTTTCTCATTATTCCATTTTGAGTGAAATTATGGTTTTTCATATAATAGTATAATATTATGTTTTAGTTTCTTTGTTATTGTACTTAACACATTTTTTTACTTTCTAAGCTTTATTGTGGTGTATTGTTAATAGAACATATAAGTTCTTTCTAGATATTTTATAATTTATAGATAAACTCTGGTTATTTTATTGACGTACCCATACCCTTTTTTAAAATGCCGTATCTCATAAAAACTGCAAAGGCACGGACATTGTGTAAGGCACGGGCTTGAAAATTGCAAAAACTTATGTTAATGTCAGCGCCCGCAAAAAAATGGGGTGGGACAGACATATTAGAGGGTGCGTACCTAAAACCTTGGTCCGCCCCGTGTAAAAGTGCGGACAAAACGGGCATGTCCAACGGACGGGGCCCGTTTTTACACCCCTACACACCGGTACCAGTATCAGGTACCGTACTCGTACCTTTGCATCATGGTGAAATACTATTAACAAGCAATATTTAGCAGTACCTGGTAAAGTAATATCATATTGGTTCCTTGAGCTTAAAATATCGACTTCACGGGCTATTGTCTCCTGCTTGATCCTATACGTCTTTTCTAGACCTTCAGCCTCCAAAAAACCTTGATCACTAGGCATAATCCACTGCATAATCATAATTAGAAAACCGCTACATAAACCATGCAACTGTCGGTGTGGCTACATAGCTTATAAAAACTGACATCAATCAATGATCACAAGTTACACAAGATCAAACTTATTTTTTTCACAATGTAACACTACCATCCCTCAGAATCAGAAACCCAATAGACCACTTGGTTCTCAACACTAATTAAACCAATCTAAAGTAACTCAAATTAATTTAGAATATCTAGTTCCGGCATCGTGAAGAGTGTACTTGATATAACAGGCTACCTAAAAGTTGGTGATACCACTTCATAATTCTGAAAGAATTAACAGTGAATGACTTGACAACTGCCGCAAGATGATTCACAATTATAAGTAACTGCAAGGCTAACATCCTCATTAACTAATTTGTTATTCTGTTATTTTGAAAATATTGTGTGGTCATTTGCTATTGTCATCATCGCTCTTCATCAAGGGAAATGCATTTTTATATTTTCTTAACATATAATAAAGGTGAATAAGGTAGGAATGACATTTGTCTCCAAAATTGTCCATGTTGACCACAAAAAAAAGGTTAGTTAACAAACCTGTTTGAGTAATCAATCATCCTTAAATTATCAAAATTTGATGTTATCGCATTAAATAAAACTCTTCTATACCAATTTTCAGTTTTTTTTTTTCAAGTAAAGCCGTACCAACAGATATTGAGGTTGGCCAGGCTCAACGATAATTCACCACAAAGGTAATAAAACACAAACTGAAATATGCAATGAAGTATACCACATCAAACATTTTAACATTTGATTATCCGTTATCAGCAACATCCACCAAAAAACATTTTAAAATAATTCACACGAGCATGATGCATAAAAAAACAAAAAATAAAGATGAGTTAAATTAAGCAAACAACCGAAGAGCCAAATTAAAAATAACTAACTTTCTCAGCCTGGGCAGCAGCTTTTGCAGATTCTCCATATAATTTCTCTCTAGCAACTAACTGACTCCTAAGCTTTTTATCCTTTAAACCCTGTAAACCATGGTTCGCAAATGAATTAATTAGGTTAAACGACAAAGTGATAATCGAGCGGCGATGTTTCAATTTCAAATTTCAATAAACTCAAAGCTTAATACCTTCAAATTAGCACCTTTTCCTCTGAGATACTTCTTTGATCTCAATTTTAGTTCATCAATAATGTCCTGCAAAGCAATGTAGGAAATAAGAAGCATGCTCCATCTTAACCTAAAACTATGCTAGAATATTAAAATCCAAGCATGAAAAACACGAAATGGATTGAACCAATGATAATTCCTAACTCTGAAAGCAGAGTCCGAAATCGTTAGTTGAGTAAGATCCAATCCATTCCAAAGCATAGTTTAGTTTTTTTTCTTCAGTTACAGTTACAAGTTTCGTCGATTTACGAGTAATGGATACTAGCAATGAACCAGTGTGCGATATAGGAAGACAGAAACTAGGGTTTATGAGTTTATTTTTTTTACCTGTTCGGTGGGAGGCTTTCTGTTAGGAAGAGCTTCCTTGTCGTGAGTTATCTCCATCTCGCACCGTGATACAGTTGCAATACCTTTCTGACGCGAGGGACGGTGGTGAGAGAGAGACGGTGGCGGCGGTGATGAAAGGGTTTATTTGGGGTTTAGAACGATTTTTGGTTTAGAACGATTTTTAGGGTATTATTGTAATAAAATAAGTTTACAAGGGCTTGAGCTCTTGAAACGGCTGTGTTATGTGAACCCTAAGTTTGAGCTTAACGCTTTCTTCTTCTTTTTATTTAATTTAACATACTCAAGGGGTCTAATAAGACTTTGAGAAGTTTTAAAAGATTTAAAGGGTCTTACCAGGGGTCTAATTGAATTTTTTAAGAGGTTTTAAAAATTATATTGAATTTTTAAGAGGGCTTTAAAAATAATTGACTATAAATTTGATAAAAACGCATGTAAAAATGTGTTAGAACAAGGAAAGAATGAATCTCGTGAATATAAGATGGATAAGACATAATAAAAATCACTTAAATTTTAGAATGATGTTTATTTATTTCATTTTTAGAGATCATATGTCTTAAAACAATGTTTCGATCAACCATAATGTGACATTTTTCATAATTTAAAATAAGATTTGTTTTTCAATGCATTTGCGTAAAACTTTATCCAAATTATTCAGTAATGAATCAAATAAGGAATCATACACAGTAAAATCATACATTAACACTTCAATGCAATTTTTGATAAAATCGGCAAAAAAAAGTATTAACCATGCCTTATTAGAAACGGTCAGGAGCATTTCACAAATCAGCGGGTATCCTACTGTAGACAAAAGTATCGAAGGGGCAGGTGAAAGTGATCTTCTATTGGTCCTCTTGTGTAATATAGATATGAAAATGTTCTTGATTGGCCCGACAGTTTGATTAGGCCCAGTCTAAGAAACCTCATGAGAGCCAACCGCTGGTCGTTGCCCAGGCCAACCCCCGCATGTGTCGGGCAATGTCTCCCCTCTTGCCCTTTTGGTCCAGCACCAACCCAAGGTGCCCTTCGAGCATCTCCTTAACCTGCCCGACACCAACGTCGTACAGGCCTCCAGGAACCAGCCAGAGGGACGCCCGTAACCAGCTCTCCCTCGAGACCAACGGCTAGTTACGCGCACATCTGCCCGGTTTGACCAAGTCCTGGCAGTTACTTGATTTTCCGGACCCGTATATTTAGACGGAAAATCAGGAACCATTGGTCACGCGTCATGGGAATTATATAAACCCTCACACCTGTGAGGGCCAAGTATCACATTTTCACCACCCATTACCTGATATTCTGCTAGTACCTCCTTACTCTCACTCTTACTTGATCGTTGGAGTACCTTGCAGGTACAACCCTCTCTCTCCTCTGCCTGACTGAAGATCATCCTTCGGCCACTCTCCAGGTTCCGGTCAACTGCGGGATCAGAAAATAACATAAACAACCATTAATAAAACAATGAAGTGACTTACAAGTCAATTGTTATAGCATATGATCAATGAAGGGTAAAGGAAGATGATTCTTCCTAATTTTCTACTTCAGTCTCTTGTAGTCAATATATATTCTCCAAGTGTTATTTGCTCTAGTCAAAACAAGTTTGTTGTTCTCATTTTTAACCATGATTAGTCTGGTATTCTTAGGTATATATTGTTAAGGATTTATCCAATTATTATCAAAGATGGGGTATAATACAAGCTTGAGAAGTTTAGTTACTTCCTTTTTCAAAGCATCTAAAAACCAAGAGGTTAAGTTGCCTTTAGAGTTGCCTAGTTGATTTTTCTTCATCCTAAAGTAGTATTTGATGCATATACATTAACGGAGAAATGTCAACCAGTGTCCGTCTACTTGGTTTCCTGTTTTTTTTCAATACTTGCAACAACTTTTGTTCCTATTGAGATTCAAATTTAGATGAAATTGTTTTAAAAAAAACTTTTCATTAAATTATAAAAATGTATATTTCAAATTTCCATGGAGTGAATTAAGCTCTAAAAAAGATGGTTGCTCGATGTATGATAAAATTTTAGTAGCATGAGCTACATTTACATCTACAACATCAATTTACCACTAGAAATATAAGAAATATTTACCTGCAAAGCAACTTTAGTCTCAACACAAACTAAATATAAATAAGTATCAATGAAAATAACATAAGTATAGGTATCATCAAAATCAGACAGATGGGGAGAATTAGATAAAAATAAATCAGGATATGTTTCATCAACTAAATCAAAAAGCAATTATATTTGAAAACAAAAATGCTTTTTCATGGGGTGTTTCATAGCATCAAATATATTAAATTTTACAATGGAAGAAAGACAGGTTGCAAGTTCAAATTCTCCAAAAACACTTTTAATTCATTCATGCAAAAGTCAAAATTGGGGATGAATTAGAGTGGCTCCTTACGGTTGTCTATACTAGCACGCGTGAAGAAGGGAGAAAGGAGTTGTGAATAGAGCTCAGAATAATATCAAATAATGTAGATAGTGGTTGGCTTTTGGGAGAGGACTTCAACGATATTAATTATGGGTCATGGAAAAACAGTTCTTCAACTTTGATTCGGAAATGTAATATTTTCCATGAAAGATTTAATGCATGTAATCTTATGGATTTAGGATCCATATGTTACAAGTTCACTTGGTGCGAAGCAATCACTCGTGGTGGAATGCGAGTTTTTGAAAAACTAGATAGAGCTATGAGTAAGGATATGTGGAGGCTTCAATACCCTAATGATCAAGTCAAAATGTTAACAAGGCTTAAGTAGTCAGATCACCACTCCATAATCATTTCGTTAACTGATCAAACCAGAATGAATTGGCTAAGTTGTTTAAATTTGAATGTGTCTGGATTATTAAAGAAACATATAAAGACATGATTGAGACTGTTTGGGATGAAAACGAGGGTCTTATTAAAAACTCTAGAGGAAATCAAAATTCAAGTCACCAAGTGGAATATGCATACAGTCAAAATCCTGTAGAAAGCTAAAAACAAAATCATGCGACAACTAGAAGGATTAAAAAAAGCTCATGAAAGAAGATTCCACCTAGGCTAGGTTGATGGAGAAAAAGCTTCAGTAGAAATTAAATAAGATTATTTACCAAGAATAGCTTGCTCGGTACCAAAGAGATAAAGACAAATGGCTTGTTGATGGAGATAGAAACACGTGTTTCTATCATGCTAAAGTTGTCTAGAAAAGAAGACGGAAGACAATTCACACCATAAAGAATGCATAGGGGACTTGGATTCATGATCCATATGAAATCAGAAAGTTGTTTAAGGATAGTTGTAACACGGTGGGGGAAGTGACTTTTTGGTTTTATCGTAAATGTTGCGATTAGCAAGAGTTGCCACCGACTTTTCTTTTATCCAATATTTAGGAAAGGTGAAAAGAATAGGAAAGACCTTTGATAGATTTTGAGTTCGGGGGGTAGTTATGAAATGGGAAGGTGTTAGCATCCTTTTCATCCGTAGTTATCTACGGGCTCTTAATTGCTTAGCCCACTTTTAAAAATTTCTTTATGTGTGTGTGATTTGTTTGAAAATGTTTTGAAATGTCAACGTAAGGCTAACTTTGTAATAATTCTTGTATCAGTCCTCAAGAATGTATACAAAGTGTTTTTGAAAATATTTGTTGTTTTGAAAATGTGATATTTGAACATGTTGTAAGCAAGCAACTAGGAGTCTTACCCACTAATAAGGTATTTCTTATTACTTTCCTTCTCCTATGGAGATAGTACAATCCATACCATTAGTTGGTATGTAGCCATATATATTGGATGTGAAGGGACGGGTGTAGGGTCATCGTATGGTCATAGAAGGCAATATGTAAGGATACTTTAGCAATTGTATCGGAGATACTATCATCATTTTGTAGGCAACTCGGGGGGGGTCATCGAGGGACTATGATCTTTATTCAAAAGGGACCATGATGATATTGTTAAATCGAGGGTTTTTTGCTAAAGTATCCCCACTTTCGAGGGACATGACCAATGTTTCGTAAGGCAACAAGAGAGGTTACCCTATAGGTGCAAGTGTGAAGAGTGTTTGTTTTCAGTTATCTTATCTTATGAATTAGGTTTTCTATGTCGCTTTTAGTCTTGTCATGCAAACCCTATTCTACTAGTAGTTAGATATATACAAAAGATTAAAGTACGGAATATAAAGTCTTACGCTATTACATGGCTTTGGGGCTATTAGCTCCTAAATTCGACACTCATACATATTAGCCTTATTGGCTAAAAATAGATTGAAGAAATCTAAGTTTAAGACACTTCAACAGAAGATCCTATGAAAGGAGTTGTGTCGAAGTCATCCTTGCTAAGAAGGAGGAAACACTTAGAGTATTTTCTGTTAAAGATAGTCTTCGATCGAGAGTCTCTTGTATCAGCAGCAAGTGGATTTGAATTTGAAGAAAGGAGGGAAAGGCAGTTCATTTGACAGTTGTGAAAAGCAACGTGGCATCAAGATAAGGGTTGAAGAGCATGCAGAGGACACTTGTCATCATCCTGGAACGAAGAAACTGTTCGACAGTTACTTATTACTAGTATAAATATAGGAATTTTGTGTAGAATTTGGTGTGTTTAACTTATTGTACAAGTCACTGACTTTTATTCAAGTACCTCCTGTGAGAGAAAGAATATTGAGAATGTACGTTTGAATTACCATACTTTATTGCAATCAAAGTCTTTACATTTCTTTACAATCCTTGCCATTTAACATTTCTCTGCAAACTTTACCATTACAGCCTTTTTAAATTACTGCAAATTTACTTTATTCTGCACTTTACTTGCGTTTTTATCAAGTTTTTTTTACCTTCATCCTGCTTTTACTCTTCGTATCCTGTTGAACCTATTCATTTAAACCTATTCAAACCCACAAACACTTAGCATATGTCTTTGGATCAAACTAATTGATCCTGCAAGTAACCAAAATAATCCTTTTTGGAAGATCAGCGTTTGTTTACCAATTTTCACGATTTACAAATTGGCACACCCGGTGGGACGTTGCTAAGTTTTTATTTTTTTACAAACTTTGATAAA